CCCCCACCCACCGCTCAGGGGTGGGGGCCAGGGGGGGGGAGGACAGTAGGTTCCCCCCCCCTTATTGTTTTATTAGGGCCCCCACCCACCGCGCAGGGGTGGGGGCCAGGGGGGGGACAGAAGTTCCCCCCCCCATATCTTTATTTAGGGCCCCCACCCACCGCTCAGGGGTGGGGGCCAGGGGCCAGGTTCCCCCCCATCTTTATTTAGGGCCCCCACGGGCATGGGGGGAGTGGGGGGGTTATTAGTTTTTTGTTTGTTTTTTTACAGTGAGCAGCTATACGCTGCTCACTGCTTACTACACATGCCCCTACTCGCAGTATAGCGAGTAGGGGCATTTAAGTTACTAATAGTAAGTAATCTTTACTTAGTATTAGTAAAGTTGGCTGTTAGACCAATTTAGGTCTTTCAGCCTTTTAGTAGATAGCTCCCTGATACTGTGGGAATTAGGGAGTTATCTACTAAACGGCTGCAAGATGCAGCCACAGCAATGAATAGGATCAGAGTTTCATTCATTAGAATGAAATTCTGATCCGAATAAAGTGCCGAATTGCGTTCTAAAAGAAACGAACAGACTGTTGTCATTCAGTTAGAACGCAATTCTGCAGTTTAGTGTAAAGTGACAGGAAGCATTGTGGGAACACAGAGGGAAGCTAGGGATCATGGGAAAATTGCTCTGACCAGCGGAAATGAAGCACACATTGCTCCTCCGCTGGTCAGAGCTGGTCAAGCGGAGGAATCCTCCATAAGGCAAAGAGTCCCTACTTTGTCTTATGATTTTAAAGAAAACTAAAGAAGACAGGAAGAAAAGAATAACAGATCCTGAGAGAGGGGGAGAAGAGGAAGAGATTGAGGAAAGGTAAGTTCGGCATGACAGTGCCGCTTTAACTGCTCTTTGATTTGGCAATTTAGTAAATATCCCTAAAAATATACAGGAATCATTCAGAGAAGCAGTCCATCCATTTGCCGCACACTGTGTCCAGCATTAAAATACTTTGCATGCTAACATCCAGACGTCAAATAGATAGAATAATTAAATCCAAGTTAGTACATAAAACCTCGTGGCTCTCTTTCTCACGACCATTGGTAGGCGAGGAAATTGTAAAATATAAACTGAGCAATTTTGTAGGGGCAGAGTCTATGCCCCAATATTACTTTATTAAAGGGTTACTTTAACCCGTTATATAACGTTGTTTTAATACGTTTACAATGCCCTACTTAGCATTGATCACTAGCTTCCTCTCCTTATAGTCTAACAAAATAAAGTATCACATTACCTGGAATCCAACTCCAAAGATCTCCATACTGGTTTTCATGCTGCCGTCAATGTCACCGCTGCTCATTCGTGGTCCAGTCCTATGGGCTCAGATCTCGCACCTGAGCCCAGTAGTGCAGTGAAGTAGGGGGTAGGTAGAGAATTTTAAAACTTTGTTGCAGAGAGGTGGGGAGGGAGCGCATGAAGAGAGGCAATATCAAGGCTTCTCCCTTGCAGACAGTGCTGCAAGGAAGAAGATCATTACCTTCCAAGGAGGCGACGGCGAAACCACCAAGCAAACTTTTGCACTTTAAGGGGACAGCAACCATTAATGTGCACATTACCTAGTTAAAGTGCGGAAAAATCTCGATTCCGCACTTTAACGTAGCAAATCAGTTAATGTGCATATTAACTAGGTAATGTGCACATTAACTGATTTCTCACCTTAACGGTAACATATACACTAAATCTGCTTCATTAAGCTAAAGTTGTTTTGGTGCTTACAGTATTCCTTTAATTTTATCCAATATTGATGTTTTAATTGACATTTTGCAACTTAAGTCAATTGTAGAACTTTGTTATTTATTCCAATTGATATATTTGTCTTTTGCCTCAATAACCCCTCTAACACAGTATTTTCTGGTAATTCATACTACATCTATGCTTCACTCCCGCTGTACATTTATTGTGTGCTGAACTACCCTTATCGTTCATAGATAACTGCAAACATCACTTGTTTTGATAATTTGTTTTTACTTTTAAGAGCCTTGTATTTGTTTTCTGTTCTCCATTTAACAATAGGATTCCAGAGATAACTACACATGAACTGAGGAGGGTCAAGGCGTCTATTTACATTCTATCAAAACAATGTCAGCCTTGGCCAGATGTTTCAAAATAACATTTTCCATCTTAGGAAATTCCACAAATTTAATGAATTGGTTGCTTTTATTATATCTTTAAATGCTAACATTTAAGTTATGTTTTTTTTTTGTTTTATTTCTTTATTATTATTTTTTATTTTAAAAGGAGAGAAATAATGTATTATTCTTGAAAGATGAGCCAGTTAACCTTGAGTTCCATAACCTATGACAGCATTTACCCTGAACCACAACTATCCCTTCATGGAATACTGAGAAAATAACATCAGCCAAAAGCTTTGCATGGAATAACCTTCAGCTTGGAACTTTGCATAATATTTGGAGATTATTTAATTCAGGTCAAAGTAACGTGTCAAAAACACAAGGAGCAGTCCAAAGATGTGACAGTTTACCATCACTCTCTGTGACCATGAATTGTAGTCAAGTCGGGAATATTTCCGAATATATTTCAAAATTTTACCAAGTTGGGCAGTCAAATTTACAGGGAATAATTTAAGTCAAAAGCTATGAAATTAATGAAATTTCTGTTGGTGCCATTAAATTACAATATTTAACACTACATTTTTCATCCCCTTTATTTTTTTCACATTTTTCTTTCTTTCTTTCTTCTTAATTTAATCACAATTAACCAATTGACCACCAGTACTTCATGTATAGATGCCATTACACACATGCATATTCTACACTCTCTTGCAGAAATAATAATAATTATTATTATGTTCTACTTTAAAATCAAAATCAGTTCCATTGACGATTATAAATACTGAGATACAACAGTTGCGACAGTTCATAAACCAAGTGTTTCAACGACCAGACTTGTGTAGATCTCTGACACTGTTCGATATTCTATGAGGTGACCCGGACCCTCAATCACTTGCCATTTCCTTTTAATACTCTCTGCTCCAACAACATAGGAGGCCTCTGTCACTTTTATATATGGGCAAATGGGAGGCAGCAACTAGGGATATACTTTCTGAACAACAGTGGGACAAGATATGTAACGTGGTTCACCACTGTGCTTTGTCCAATAAAGCACAAGAAACAGCTTACAAAGTTTTGTTAATGTGGTACGGAACACTGCAATTTCTTCATGGTGTGCTGTCCTGCTGCTAATGGCAATTGTTATTCACATCTGGGAATGACTTTTTGAAAGCCATTAGTGACATTTTGAAGAAGTTCTCAGACAACCCTCCTCCTTTTAGACCTTTTACCTTTCCCTTACACCACATTAATACACCAACAGCTAGAAATAAGAAATCCCTAACCATCCAGATTCTGAATACTGCAAAACAAATTATATCCCTGAACTGGAAGAAAAACACACCCCAACCCTCGACCTGTGGTTTGATAAAATGGAGGACTTACGACAACTGGGATTGACAGTTACAGCTCAGGGAAGCACACAAACATAGCAGAAGCATGGACAAAAAGGTTGATGGTAGCCTATCAGGCAGATTTTCAGAGGTTGTCGACGGGAATTTTAAAAGGTGACGTGGCTCATGTTTAGGAGACTGTGCAGGTTTAGGTTGATGTCCCGGGACACCGTCTGGGAATACGTCCTTGACGTCTTGGAGTCAAGGATTTTAATTACTTTATATAGGCTATTGTTTTTGTTAACATTGTCTTCCTATGTGGAGTCCATTGAATTGTTACACCTGATCACACCAGATCCATGGACCACTATGGGAGGATATACTGATGGAATATTCAGCCTAAGCTTTTTACTGCACAATGATTATTAGAAAGGAGATGTTGGGTGCATTTGTATTTCAATAATGCCTACTCGTTCCGATTTATTCAGGTTTTAAGAGTATTGTATATTATCTAATTAGTCAGGACTAATTGTTATATTTCATATTTTATGATTTGGTTCCATTCCCTATATTCTTCAAAGTACCTGTGTGTCCATATGTATCTTCATATACTGTACTACAGCCCTGCGAGGCCTTCAACCTTGATTACTACTGTGGACCTGCGTATCCTTTCTCAATATTTATCTTTCTCTTAAAGATCAATAAAATTTTTAATTCACAAACAATAAATGTATTACACCATTTATTAAACAAGCCTACTCAATGACACTAGAAAGTCTAAGTGAACCAATTCTTACAAATACAGAGTATATTAGAAGGTACGAATAAGGCTGAAAAGCTTGGTTGAACACATTAAAACCGATTTGCATCAATAGTACTTTTCATTATAGAGAATTTTTTACATTGTTTATTTATTTGTAAGGTGTAGGGATTCACCTTTGTCAAGGAATACTCACACCAAAACATAATCTACCACAAGAAACTACTCACCCCGCACTCAGGTTCCGCTCAATAATCCAGCCATCTACCTGGGAGGTGCTGTGAAAGCAGCAAACACTGCAATCTTTTAAAGTCAAGTGAAGTAACAAGGAACACAGACGACACTCCAAAGGTCTAAGATGGCTCTGTTTATTAGAGGGTAAGTCTCCTAAAAAAAATTAACTTCACCAAAACATAATCTATGCCCATACTCTCTGACTCTCGGATATGAGTGCTTTCTACCCCTGTCTTTCCCCCTGTCTTTACCATATATTCACTAGGAACATACACTACATTCTACACTCTTTACTGGAGTCTTCTACTCCTTCCTTTCCTGCCCACACACTGTTGGAGCTTTCGGAGTGTCTCGATATAACACATGGATCCTGTTAGTGTCTTATTGACACTTTTCCCACCTACTCATGACCAACAAAATTGGGAGAGATACTAGTGAAATATGACTGGCATGGCTGGAACAGAACAAGTACAATCACATTTGTGAACTATCCCATGAAGAAAGTCAATTTCCCACCCTCCTTAGATTAGCAGTGATTATCAATAAAAATTGTTCCATGGATTTTAATCAGGGAAGACATATTTAGTTTGTTGATAGCTTACAAGTTTGTCTTGGGGTCTAGATGTTATTATTACGTAACTTAATAATAATAGTTTGATTAATTAGGAGGAAAAAATGCTGAAGTTGAAGTGACCTTACAAAGAATACAAATTTGTGACTCCAACATGTATGAAGTACGTGCTTTTCCACTGAGTCATATCACTGGCAGGGGTGTATGTCTTTATTATTATGTGAATAGGAAAATAAAAATATATCGTACATCTAAAAATTGCATGTC